TAGGCTGTTGGGATTTTGTTGGAAATATAGATCAATTTGGGGAGAGGTGATGTCTCAATATCATTGAGGTTTTCATTACATGAAAATACTTTATATCTCCATTTTTAGATCTTCATTATTTTGTTTTTACAAGGTTTTGAAACTTTTAGAGAAAAGGTCTTGTAATGTTTTGTTAAATTTATCTCTAGGAGGTTCATCTTTTTGGATACTAGTGAATGACATTTTTAAAAATTTTATTTTCCAAGATGGGAGACTTATTATAAGGCTATAATTATTATAAAGATATAGTATAAGTAAAGTATATAAAGTATAGTATAAAGATAGACAAGTAGACCAGCTGAATAGCAATGAGGCCACAAATTGGACCTGTGCCTTTGTTTTATTTTTTAATTGAAATACAGTTGACATACAGTATTATGTCAGTTTCAGGTGTGCGACATAGTGATTTGACACTTACGTACATTACAAAATGATCACCATAGCAAGTCTAGTAACCACCTGTCACCATACAAAGTTATTGCAATCTTATTGACTATATTTCCTATGCTGTATATCACAACCCGTGATTTATTTATTTTATGACGGGAAGTTTGCACCTCTTAATCCCCTCCACCTATTTTGCCCAACCCTCTACCCTCCTCCCCTCTGGCAACTACTGGTTCATTTTCTGTATCGGTGGAGTTATTTCTGTTTTCTTTGTTTAATTGTTTTGTTTTTATATTCCACATATAAGTGAAATAATGTGGTATTTATTTTTCTCTGTTGACTTATTTCACTTAGCACAATACCTTCCAGGTCCATCTGTATTGTCACAAATGGCAAGATTTCATTATTTTTTATGGCTGAGTAATAGTCTATTAAGTATATATACCACATCTTCTTTATCCATTTGTCTATTGATGGACACTTTCATATCTTGGCTATTGTAAATAATGCTGTAATGAACATAGGGGTGCATATATTTTTTCAAATTAGTGTTTTTTTTTTCTTTGGGTAAATACTCAGAAGCGGAATTGCTGGATCATGTGGTGGTTCTGTTTTTAATTTTTTGAGGAACCTCCATACAATTTTTGATAGTGGCTGCACCAATTTACATTCCCACTAAGAGTGCATGAGGGTTCCCTTTTCTCCACACCCTCACTAATGATTATCTGTTGTCTTTTTCTTTTTTCCAGGAAGATTAGCCCCGAGCTAACATTCGCCACCAATCCTCCTGTTTTTGCTGAGGAAGATTGGCCCTGAGCTAACATCTGTGCCCATCTTCCTCTACTTTATATGTAGGATGCCTGTCACAGCATGACTTGAGGAGCAGTGTATAGGTCCCTACCCTCGATCTGAACCGGCAAACCCCAGGCAGCCAAAGTGGAGTGCACAAACTTAACCGCTGTGCCACAGGGCCAGCCCCTCTGTTGTCTTTTTGATAACAGCTATTCTGACAGGTGTAAAGGTATATCTCATTGTGGTTTTGATTTGCATCTCCCTGATGAGTAGTAATGTTGGGCATATTTTCATGTGTCTCTTGGCCATCTGTATGTCTTCTTTTGGAAAATGTCTATTCAGACATATTCTTTGCCCATTTTTAATTTAATTGTTTTTTTAATATTGAATTTGTATCAGTTAAATATATATTTTGGATCTTAACCCCTTACCAGAAGCATCATTTACAAATATCTTTTCCCATTCAGTAGGGTGCCTTTTCATTTTGTTGATGGTTTCCTTTGCTGTCAAAAGCTTTTTAGTTTGATATAGTCCCATTTGTTTATTTTTACTTTTGTTACCCTTGCCTAAGGAGACAGACCCAAAAAAATTATTGCTAAGATGATGTCAAAGAGTTTACTGCCTATGTTTTCTTCTACAAGTTTTATGGTTTCAGGTCTTACATTTAAGTCTTTAATTCATTTTGAGATTGTTTTTGTATATTGTGTAATAAAGTGGTCCAGTTTCATTCTTTTGCATGTAGCTGTCCAGTTTTCCTAACATTATTTATTGAAGGGACTGCCTTTTCTCCATTTTTCATTCTTGCCTCCTTTGTTGTAGATTAATTGACCATATAAGTGTGGGTTTATTTTTGGGCTCTCTATTCTCTTCCATTAATTTATGTGTCTGTTTTTGTGCCAGTACCATCTGTTTTGGTTACTATAGTTTTGTAGTATAGTTTCAAATCAGGGAGTGTGATACCTCTAGCTTTGTTCTTCTTTCTCAAGATTGCTTTGGCTATTCAGGATCTTTTGTGGTTCCATACAAATTTTAGGATTATTTGTTCTAGTTCTGTGAAAAATGCCATTGGTGTTTTGATAGGGATTGCATTGAATCTGTAAATTGCTTTGGATAGTACGGACATTTTAACAATATTAATTCTTTTCATCCATGAGCACAGTATATCTTTCCATTTATTTGTGTCATATTCAATTTCTTTCATCAATGTCTTAAGTTTTCAGAGTATAACCTTTTCACCTTCTTAGTTAAATTAATTTCTAGATATTTTAATCTTTTTGATGCAATTGTAAATAGCAATTTTCTTAGTTTCTCTTTCTGATAGATTGTTATTATTGTATAGAAATGCAAAAGATTTCTGTATATTAATTTTGTATCCTGCAACTTTACTGAATCCATTTATTGGTTCTGACAGTTTTTTTGGTGTAGTCTTGAGGGTTTTCCATATATAGTATCATGTGAGCTGCCAACAGTCACAATTTTACTTCTTCTGTTCTAATTTGGATGCCTTTATTTCCTTTTTTTGTCTGATTTCATGAGTGGTGTAGGTCTGCTCCTAGGGTCTGAACCCACAAACCCAGGCTTCTGAAGCGCAGTGCTTGAACTTAACCAATACGCCACTGGGGCAGCCCCACTATGGAGCTTTAAAAAGAATAAGATAATTTTACATCAAATGGTTAGGTACGTTTTCATTGACATTTAAGTAATAAAGCAAGATAAAAGCACTTTGTGTACATTTCTCTCCCAGTTTTGTAATCCATCTATGCATATGCATCCTAGATGCTGGCTGTTTCTTAGACCTTTTCCAAAGAGGAAAAAACTGTCCATTGATAAATAGTATGCATTCATTATTAATAATTTTTATTAGTTCATTATTAAAATACTGCAGCTTTTATAAGAGAGAGAAAAGAGGTTCTCCTCCCCCCACAATACACAGCAAACAACTAAATCTCCTTTTACCATTTCAGCTACTTCAAAATTACATTGTAGGCCACCTTGCCAACCAGGAGTATGCTTCTCTGGAAGAGGATCTGTAATAATAGATATCCTAATCTCTTTTCTTCTGCTTTTAAATTATTCATAATGAGAACTTGAGAAAGAACATTTCGATTATTCTCTAAGCTGTTATGCCTAATAATGAAAGTGTAATGTTCCCATCTGTACATTCTATGATACTGAGTTAAAATTCCTAAATTAGTACAGTCATAGGTAGGGGCCTGTCCTGGTCAGTTCGGGCTGCTATAACAAATTACGATAGACTGGGTGGCTTAAACAGCAGAAATTAATTTTTCACAGTTCTGGAGACTGGGAAGTCCTAAGATCAGGATTCCTACATGGTCAGGTCTGGGTGAGAGCCTTCCTGCTTTGCAGTTGCCCATCTTTTTGCTGTGTCCTCCAATGATGGAGAGCAGAGAGAAAGGGAGCAAACTCATGTGCCTCGTGATCCAGTTACCTCTCAAAGTCCTCATCACCAAATACCATTATATGGTAGATTAGGGTTTCAATGTATGAATTTTAGGAGACTAAAAACATTTAGTCCAGAGCAAGACCTTTTCTCCTCCTGGGAACTGTATTTTCAAATTGTGACAGGAATAACTGTTGATGTTCTTTGTAATCATTTACTATATTCAGGGCATAATTTTAAATCGTGTCCTAAGCTATTATCAGATTAATTTTAAAATATTGTTTACTACACTATATTGCTTTTTTATGCAAGCACCTTACTCTCTCTTGCCTATAAAAAATTCTAAATTTGATTCTTCCAAAGCTGGCTTCTCCCAGCATACTCTTTGATTCTTTAAGGAGTGTTGACCCTCCCAAAGCAAATTCGCTGGTGTACTTGGTTTCTTGATATACTTGATTTATTTGGTCCCCTTGATATATGTTGCACATTTCCACTTTTCTTGTCTTTGCTTAATGATGTTTGCCTTTCCTCTTTTCTTTCCAATGACAGTCTATCCATTCTTTAAGGCTTAGTTTATCTCTATCTTCCTCCTTTCTCTTCTCAGCTCCTAAACGTTTATTATATTTTCCATACCACTCTTGTGGCATGTGGAATAGAAAAAATATAATTGATATTTAGGGACTGTGGTATGCTTCCATGTTATTTAACATTTTCTTTGTACATATCATGTTTTGTTTGTTTAGCACCAAACTTAGTGCAGAGACTGTCTTCTCTCATATGCTTTTTGTGTACAAGATTGAAGAGTCTTGTGTTATTACCTTGAAACTTTATTGATTATTATGTATCCTCATTCTGATGGTTCTCTTTTAAGTAGCATCTTAGGTAACCTTTAGAGTTATTTGATTCAGTTGGAAAACTTACCAGGGTTGTCATATTCTTCCCATAGACATTGTTGACTTAGGAGCAGCAACCCAATCGTTCTCTCTTAGCATCCCAGAGTCCTCTTATGTGCTATAGCATAAGGAGGTCACACATCCTGGAGCTCAGTCCGGTTTTGTCACTTATTAGATGCATAGTTTTTATCAAGTTATATCATCTCTCTTAGCCTCAAATTCTCTATTTGAAAATGGTGACAATATCTTCATTTCTGGGTTGAGGATTAAGAGAATGTAAAGTAGCATAGTGACTTGCACATAATTGGTATTTTAATAACATGGTAACTATTCTTATAAGCATTTTGTTCCTTCACTGTTCATGTGACCCTGCTGTCTCTTCTTTATGCTTGTCTAGTTCTCACACATATAGCAGTGAGTTATATCAGCATAGAGGTGTAGCTTCAGTCATTAATAATACCTTTAAATGTTTTCCTTTTTTTCAATAGAAACTTCTTATTCACTGCCTAATCGATTGAATGCCATGTTGAAAATATTTGAAAAACAGTCAAATATGTTGACGAGGTAAGCTTTTAAAATGACTTTTTTCCAATTATAAAAATAAGTACACATTTATTTTAGAAAAATTAGAAACATAGAGAAGAAAATAAGACCACTGTTAAAAATATTTAATGTTCTTACGTCAATTTTTATGATGTGTATAGCTCTAAAATTTAAAATTTTAATCATTCAGAATGTAAAATAGTATAGCTACAATGGAAAACAGTATGTCAGTTTCCCAAAAAATTAAAAATGCAATTCCTATATGATACAGAAATTCCATTTCTGGGTATATACTCCCCAAAATTGAAATCAGGAGCTTGAATACCTATGTTCACTATAGCATTATACACAGTAGCAAAGAGATGGAAGCAACCCAAGTGTCCAAGAAAGGATGAATGGATAAAGAAAATGCGATATATACATATAATTGAACATTATTCAGTCTTAAAAAGGAAGGAAATTCTGACATATGCTACAAGAATGAACCTTGTGGACACTATGCTGAGTGAAATAAGCCAGTCAAAAAAGACAAAATTGTATGATTTCACTTATATGAGGTAGCTAGAGTAATCAAATTCATAGGGACAGAAAGTAGAACGGTGGTTGCCAGGGCCTTGGGGGAGGGGAAATGGGGAGTTGTTTAATGGGTATAGAGTTTCAGTTTTAAAAGATGAAAAGAGTTCTGGTGATTGGTTGTATAATAATGTGAATGTACTTAACAGTATTGAACTGTACACTTAGAAATGTAGATGGTAAATTTTATGTTATTTTACCACAATTTTTAAAAATTAAAAAAAATTACAATTCAAAATGTAGTTTGTGTATATACTTTTCATTTAGTTATAATTCTTTGCAAACTCATATAATTCTTATTTTAAATATTTTAAGTTAAAATAAAACATATATTAATAAAAGTTCATATAACAGTGTTTTCAAAAAATTTTATTTAGAGTCAACATTGAAAATTAGGAAATTTTTCATGATCAGAATGTCTAATTATCAAATCCAGTGATTAAGAATGAATAGAAGAGAGTAGCAGATCAAATGTGAAATAAAGGATATCCTGGGCAGCTGCTAAAAACAGAAATAAAGGACTTATGGCTTGCATTAATTGGTGGTCAGGTATTGGGACGTAACTGAGTTAGGCCCTGTTTCACTTTTTTCCCTTCTATCTCATTAGAATCCTCCTTATCGGAAGGGTAGGGTCAGAACTTGCACAGCTTTGTCAGATGAAAGCTTTAACATGTTCTAAGAGCATTCTTAAAGTAGGAGGCTGGTTTCCATGAGTATTCTTTCCACTGGACCAGAGTATTAAAGCAGACATCTAGACTATTATTTATTCTAGCTTCTTATATTAGACTGTTGGTGCTAGTTATAAGTGGTTTTAGAACTCCTGGGCATAACAGAAAGCAGTGGACTAGCTGAAGTGGTTACTATAAAGGAGAGGATTTCCAAATTGAATTGTCTTATATCCAGAATAAACTTTCTACAATTCTCTGGTTGGAATATGCTTTGTATGTTTCTTTGTGTAGCAAGAAGTATCCTGAATGCCACTGTGGATGATCTACCAGTCTTTCAGGTGGTTAGGTTATATTAGTTACACAACTGGTATGTTGAAAAAGCGTGTCTTATAGAATGAAATCACACAGCAGCTTTCTTTTGGATACCTTGCGTTCATTTATTTTTGCTAATTGGGGCTAATTTTTCCCCCACCCCTGGTTAAAACTAGGGCAGTACAATGACTTTTCTGATCATTCTTAGATAATAATTAATTTACATTTACTGTATAAGCACTCTCCTAAATGGAAAATTACAATTCCATGTCAAATATTACAATCAATATTTTAATTTTCATTTTCTTCCCCTCGTCCCACCCTATTACTCCAGCTGAGCATGCTGGGGCTGTGGTTAACTTTTCTCTTTCATTACCTCTTTTCCCACTAACTAGTTGTAGTTTTTGTTTTCCATGTGTTTGGGAACGGAGGGAAGAAAGCTAAGGTATACAGGAAAGGTCCACTGTCACTGCCTTCCTTCGCCATAACTGCAGATAACACACACCAGGTTTTCTGAGGATTCTTTTTACAGTGCCTCGCACTGGGGCTTGAGATAAGGGCAAGCATATCTATCCCTCCCTTAATGGTTTGGATAGGACTCAAGCCACCCAATAGCTCTTTGCAAAGAAATGCTCTTTAAGTCTTCTTTCCTGACCTTTTTATAATGTCCATGTCAGTGAAAGGTTTTAGTGCTCTGTCTTGACTGCCTACTTTTTTTTTCAAGTGCTAATGGTCATATGTCTCACCTATTACTTTGATATGTGATACTGGGGGCTTAGAGTCTCAGTTGATCCCTCCATTTAACAACTTGTTACAGTTACATCCTTTAACATTCTGTTAAAATAAATACAGGGTTTGGCAAAAGTCTTAGTGGGTTTTAAGCTTTAATAACTTCAGAACTATACAGATACAACTTTTCAGAAAACACTATTTCAAAATTTGATTATGGATATTTCTTTTGCACTTACTTAAAAATTTTTGGATAATAATTTAAAAGGTTTTTTTCAGTTAAAATTTTTTGTTTGGGTCAGCATTTTCCATATTCAATCAGATTTACTAAAACAAAATTAATTTACAGTCATGCATTGACGACAGGGATATGTTCTGAGAAATGCATGGTTAGGAGATTTAGTTATTGTGTGAACAACATAGAATGTACTTACACAAACCTAGATGGTATAGCCTACTACACACTTAGGCTATATGGCACTAATCTTGTGGGATCATCATCTTATATGCGATCCATTGTTGACTGAAACATCATTATGAGGTGCATGACTATATTGTTCAAAATTCACAAAACTATGTAAAGGAAATGGAATTAATTAAACTTTCAAATGTTTAATTTTTTAAGTTTGTAGCTTTCTACTTCTGAAGTCAGTGGAGCTTAGAACTACACTAAAGCTTTTAGGACGTCCTGTATTTATTAAACTTCCACCATGTGACTGAGTTTTTGGGACAAAATCCCAACTAAAATTAGTCTGAGCAAAAGACAGATTTTATTATAAAGAGTCTGAGCCTCTCACTGAATGTATTGAAGCAGTATGGCTCAATCTCAGAAACAAGTATAAATTAGAACTTGAGCATCATCAAGATATTGTTTTTCTCTGTGTGAGCTTCATTTTCTCCTATCGCAGACCTCTTCATTCCTTCTGTTTTCTTCTTCATTTATTTTTTGCCCATGGGTGGGAAGCCATGACTGCTGACAATTCCTAAGCTTTAATCTTCAGTTTTAGTCATTCTGAGGGATAGTATTTGAATTTCCCAAGTCTAATAGTCCTAGGTGAGAAAATCATTATTACAGATAGAGAAAAGTGCCCATTTATGGACCAGTCAATTCTAGTCAAAGGCTTATGGTTATGTAAGCTCTCTCAGGAACTATATTGATTCAGAGGGGTGCAGGAAGGGGAGTTCCCAGAAATAGCAGTGGGATCTACTTCTGAGCTGCCCAGTGGTGAGCAGATGTAATGGGATGAAATCCACATTAATATAGGATAACATATAGGAAAAAATGATTGTATTTTATTATTATGCGTGAATTATAGAGCAGCAGGATAGGGCAATCATGCTGGTCTTTGGGGGACCTAATAGACCTGTTCTTCAGGATCTGGTCAATAACATTGTCTAGCTGTTGGTCCGTGGGTAGTGGGAAATGGGCTAGTAAGCATAGACCCAGAGGACCTTGAAAATTTATTTCTTCAATTATGGGACAAATTGGGACTGTAATTAAAGATTGAATTGTAGGATGGTTTGTGAAGGCATAAGACCTCTTTGGTGAACAGAGTGCTGAGAGCTGGTGTCCAGTCTTGGGGATGGCAACATTGGTGACGACATTGTACATCACCAGAATCATGTGTGCTCCTGACAGGAAAGCAGGCCTATTAAGAAATCCATTATGATGTTTATAAGGAGGCATAGGAGTCAGAAGGAAGGATAGTAGGCTGTCTTGTCTTCCAAACTGTTTTTTAGCCCAGGAACATGTATCACAGGTAGTTAGATTATGTCAAAGGTGAAGTCACCATAGCTCCAACATGGTAAATTCAAAGTCTTGAATGAATTTAATTGGCGAACTAGGGCACTGGCAAGGGCATTTGGCTAAAGAATAATGACAAAGTCTTACTTCACATCATTCAAAAAACTAAATTTAATGTTGATTACAGACCAAAATGTAAGAAAACAAAATTATAAATATATGGAAGGCATCTGGCTCTATCAAAATTAAAAACACCTTGTTCAAAAATGAACCAAGTTAAATGATAAACACTGGACTGGGAGAAAATATTTGTGCATATACAATAGAAAGAAGGAATGACAATAATATATAATTCCATAAAAAAGGCAAATAGCCCTCAAAAAATAGTCAAAGTATATATATATATATATATAACTTAAGGAAGAGACAAAACAGTGGCCAATAAACATGTTAGGCGATGCTCGATCAGGGAAGTGGCAAAGCAAAACAGCAACAATATATTTTTTCCCCTATCAGTTTAACAAAAGTAAAAGTTTTCTAATATCAAGTCTTGACAGAGATGTAGTATAATCACTAATCTTAAAATGCTAGTAAATAGGAGTTGCCTACTTTCAAGTACAATTTAGCAGAGTTTATTTAATAATAACAACAAAAATGTATACCTTATTATACCTCTTTTATATTTCCCTAAAAAAGCAAACCTCTTTTAATCTACCCCAGAGAAAGGAATATACTCAAGGAGGCTTATATCAAAAGAAATTTATCGCATCACTGTGATAACAGCAGAAACGAGAAAGAATTTCAACTCCTGTTAGTAGGAGTATGGCTCAATAATCTATGGTAAAAGGATCTTATGGTAATACTATGAACGACTGTATGACAACAAATTAGATAACTTACATGATATAGACAAATTCCTAGAAAAATACAAACTGAACTGATTCAAGAAGAACTAGAAAATCTGAGTGAAACTGTAACAAGTAAAGAGATTTAATTTGTAATTAAAATATTTTCCACTAGGAAATGCTCGGGCCAGATGGCTTCACTGGTGAATTCTATCAAATATTTAAAGAGGAATTAATACCATCTCTTCACAAACTTTTCCAAAAAGTGGAAGGAGTCAACACTTCTCACCTCATTCTGTGAGACTAGTATTATTCTGCTACTAAAACCAGACCATATCACAAGAAAACTGCAGACCAATATGTTACAAATATAAATGCAGAAATTCTCAGCATAGCACTAGCAAATAAAATCCAGCAACATATAAAGTGAGTTGTACACCACAAACAAGTGGGATTTATCCCAGGAATGCAAGGTTGGCTTAAAATGCAAATATCAATTAATATAATACATGATGTTGATTGAATAAAGGAGAAATAAAGTCACATGAACATTTGACAAAATATAATACAATTTCATGGTAAAAAAATACTCCACAAACTATGAATAGAAGGGAACTTCCTTAATTTGATGGAGGCTATCTATGAAAACTCATAGCTAACATCATACTTAATGGTGAAAAGAATTAATACATTGTCTCTAAGATCAGGAACAAAAGAGGACATTCTTACTGCTTCTAGTAGAGGTTCTAGCCAGGGAAATTAAAGAAGAAAAGGAAATGAAAGATGTTCAGACTGGAAAGGAAGAGATAAAACTACCACTTTTTGCAGATGTCATGATCTTGTGTATAGAAAATCCTCAGGCATCCACTGAAAACTATTAGAAGAAATGAATGAATTCATCAAGGTTGCAATATACAAGATACATAAATAAAAATCAATTGTACTTTTACACACTAGCTATTATGGGTAGAATTGTGTCCCCCAAACTGTATGTTGAAGCTCTAACTCCAGTGCCTCAGAATGAACTTATTTAGAAACAGGGTCATTGTAGATGTAATTAGTTAAGATGAGGTCATACTGGGGTGGGATGGGCCCTTAGTATAATGACTGGTATCCTTAAAATAATTGGATAAGAGAGATACACACAGAGGGAAGACAGCCCTAGAGGCCGAGATTGGAATTATGCTGCCACAGTCCAAAGAATGCCAGGGACTACTAGAAGCTGGAAGAGGCAAAGAAGGATCCTCCCCCAGAGATTTCAGAGGGATCATGGAGTTACCAAGACCTTAAGTTTAGATTTATAGTCTCCAGAACTGTGAGAGGATAAACTGTTGTTTTAAGTCGCCCAGATTGTGATACTTTGTTACAGCAGCCCTAGGAAACTAATACACTAGCAATGAACATTCCAAAAATGAAATAAAGATAACAATTCCATTTACAGTGACAGCAAAGAGAATGAGAATGAAGTTAACAAAAGAAGTGTAAGATTTTTGCACTGAAAACTACAAAACATCATTGAAAGAACTTAAAGAAGACCTAAATAAACAAGTAGACATCCCATTTTCATGGACTGTTAGATTTAAGAATCTTAAAATGGCAGTACTCCCCAAATTGATTTACAGATTCAATGTACTCTATATCAAAATTCCAACTTTGTTTTTGCATGAAGTGACACGCTGATCCTAAAATTCATGTGGAAATACAAGGAATCCAAAATAGCCAAAGAAATCTTAGGAAGAAGAACAAAGTTGGAGGACTCACACTTAATTGATTTTAAAACAAAACAAAGCTATAGTAATCAAGACAATGTGGTATTGGCATAAGGATAGACCTATATATATAGATCAATGTAGTAGAAGTGAATGTCCAGAAATAAACCCTTACATTTATAGTCAATTGATTTTAAACAAGGAGATCGATACAATTCAATGGGGGAAAGAATAGTCTTTTTAACAACTGGTACTTGGATAACTGGATATGCACATGCAAAAGAATAAAGTTGGATCTTTTCTTCATGCCATGCACTAAATTTAACTCAAAATTATCAAAGACATAAATTTAAGAGCTAAAACTATAAACCTCTTAGAAGAAACATAGGAGAAAATCTTTATGAGTTGAGTTAGGCAATGGTTTCTTAAATAGGACACCAAAAGCACTACCAGCAAAAGAAAAAAATAGACAAATTGAACTTCATAAAGATTAAAGACTTTTCTGCTGCAAATGAGGGTCAAGAGGGTGAAAAGACAACCCATAGAATATGAAAACTATTCAAAAATTATATATTTGATGAGACTTGTATCCAGAATATATAAAGAACTCTTATAACTCAATAATAAAAAGATAAATAACCCAATTAAAAATGGGCAAATAATATGAATAGACATTTTCCAAAACAGTCTGTACACATGGTCAATAAATACATGAAAAAATGCTCAACATCATTAATCATTAGGGAATTACAAATCAAAACTACAGTGATATACCACTTCACACCCATGAGGATGGCTATAATAAGAAAAGACAGATAATAACAGTTGTTGGCAAGGATTTGGAGGAATTGGGACCTTGTACATTGCTTGTGAGAATTTAAGTGGTACATCTGCTATGGAAATCAGTTTGTCAGTTTCTCAAAGTGTTAAATATAGAGTTAACATATGATCCAGAAATTCTATTTCTAGGTTTATACCTGAGAGAAATGAAAACATATGTTTACACAAAAACTTGTAAATGGATGTTCAGAGTAACAGTATGCGTAATAACCAAAAAGTAGAAACAACCCAAATGTTCATAAACTGATGAATGGGTAAGTAAAACGTGTATATCCATACAATGGAATATTACTTGGCGATGAAAAGGAACAAAGTGCTGAAACATGCTACAACCTGGATGAACCTTGAAAACGTTATGCTAAGTGTAACAAACCAGTCGCAAAAGACCACATATTGTATAATTCTATTTATCTGGACTATCTGGAGTAGGCAAATCTATAGAGACAGAAAGTAGATTAGTGGCTACCAGGGCTGGGGCAGTGCTGGGAAGAATGGGGAGTGACTGCTTATGGGTACAGAGTTTCTGTTTGAGGTAATTAAAATATACTGAAATTAGAAGTGGTAATAGTTGCCAACTTGGTGAATATTTTAAAAGCCATTGAAATGTACACTTTAAATGAGTGAATTGTATGGTATTTAATTATATCTTAAAGCTTTAAAAATTTTTTATTATAATAAATAAACAACTCATTTGTCAAGAAAAAATCTATAGTTTATCCATACTATGGAACAGTTGTCAGCAAACTGCAGCCCTTGAGTTAAATCTAGCCACACCCGTTCTTGTTACCTGTCATCCATAGCTGCTTTTGCAGGATTGGGTAGTAGTAACAGAGATCATCTGGCTTGCAAAGTCTGAAATATTTACTATCTTGCTCTTTACAGAAAAAGTTTTCCAAATCCTGCTATGGAATAAGAAGTGGTATTTTATTTAAAAGGGTGAGATAGAACTACATTTATCAATATAAATAGATCTCAGACATTGTATTAAGTGAAAAAATAAGTTAAGAACAATATATACAGTGATATCATTTATGTGAAAAAGAAAACAAAACAGACATACAACCCGCTAACAAAAATTATACAATCAAATAGGTACATGCAATATTGTATAAATGCATGGAATAAATTTTGGAAAGATACGCAGCAATCTAATGATATGTCTGGGGAAAGCATTGGATTTTTTGAATGGTGGTCAGAGTGTACTCTAACTTTATTTGTTTTATTTTAAATTTTTTATAAAGAAAGGTATAAGTATGTAAATAAAAATATAAATGTAAAGTTATAATACATTATAGATATTTTTGTTTTGTTTTTCAGAGCTATGAATGATCAAAGTTTGTTAGAGGCTGTAAGTATAGTACAGCACTCTCAGTTTGAAATTACACCTTGCCCTTGACAATGTTGGTAGATTCTAGAAATTGTCAGGATGCATGATCTTAAATAAAGATTCAATGCTTACTCATTTTACTGAAGAGATTTCTATGCATATGTGAGCTAGAAAGCTTTGTCTATTCTTTTGATTTTACTAGACTTTATTATCACTCAGAAACACTCCACTTCTGAAATATTGAACTATAATGTCACACAGTCTTCTAAACTTCCATTCATTCTCACTTCCAGTTCCTTTGCCTCTTTCAGCCCCAATTATAGCTTCGCTATCCAGATTAATACCAAAGATATTATTTTCATGAGTTAATGAAGACTTTCTTACTTTAATAATTAAGTACCCAAATAACTTGTCTACATTGAGACGTTTGTTTTTCATTGTTATTAAAATTATAATATTTGTTTTTAGAAATATAAACAGATGCAAAGTGATTTCCAAGTGTTATCAGAAGAGAAATTGTTGCTGGAAAATGAACTACAAAAGTTGAAGGATACGGAGGTAAGTTAAAATCTGAAAATGGCACACAGCCTTATTATTTTAGCATAGGAATAAAAGATATATTTAAATGTTTTACAATACATTATCTATATTAATAATTGGTAGCAGCTATGCTTTAAAAAATAAAATAATGCTATATTCTAAATTATGGTATTAACTGTGAAAACCAAAAGAATGCTATGAAAAACAGACTTAGAATTTAAACATTACAAAAGACATTTCTAGGTCAAATATTTAACTTTATTAAAATATCAATGAATTAGGGTTTTCAAATATATTTTAAATAAATGTTATTATATTCTTTGAAATTATGTAATGTGTGTGTCCCAGTTCACTATACCAAGTAGAGTGTGTATAAATACCAAGAATAAAGTGTTTTCTTTTTTCTTTCTCTTTTGCCATTTTTATATAGCTAATACATTTCAAACTATAGACAACAAAGTCAAATGAATTAGAAGTGAATTTTTATTAACCATGTAAAAACATAGGATGTATGTTTCAACCTAAGATCAACATAAAATGAAGGAAAATACTCTCAAATCCACTAATGTTGATTACTTGATATTTCTTCCTTCCTAGAGGAGGAAGCAGAAGTATTACTAGGAACTTTGTCACTTACTCAGTTAGAGAAGCAGTGATCCTACACAGACATTAAATATAAGATCAGGGCTATCACATATGTTCAATTAGGAATAGTTCCAACTAGTATCTACACTAGGGTAGTGGCCAAGAGGTCTGAGAGAGAGTCTGTTTTCAGAGAAGGGAATCGGTGTAATAGGATGGTGGGAAGAGAATAAATGGCTATAGAATTATGCCAAAGTCAGGATTTCTAATAACAAATAAAACAATTTTCTTCCAAAGTAGTCTTCCTTTCCTAACTTATCTCTCTTAATAATTTTATTTTTGTAGACAACCAATTTTAACGATCAAAAGCCACATTTGATTGCTGTCCTTGACTGCCAAATGATGATTGGTAGTTGTCTGTGTGTCAGTCAGTTAAGGATTTTATTTTCTTTTACTGTAAGCAGGAGAAACTGCAAGTTTCTTGCAACTAAAGGAAGAAATTTATTGGATGGGTATTAGGGTAATGCAAAGAATTCAAGGAAAATTGAACAGTGTGTTTGGTGAAGGGTAGAACTAGGGCCACTCCTGGAGTCAAAATAACAAAAGTTCTTGGATAGCAATTACTCCTGTCCTTTCAGGGAGCTTTTAGAGAGGGAGCTCGGTCTACTATTTTCCCCATCCCTTTGGATACTGGCTCTGGAATTACTCAGCTCCAAGTGCTTCCTTTCCATAAAAGTCAGTTCTTAGTGATTGGATCTGATTGGCTTTGCTTAGGTCAAATGTTACTGGGACAATTTGAGATGAGGGAGTTGCAGAACCCTACTACAGTGTGGTGCTATTTCTTAACAAAAGGGAAAAGGATACTGGACACAAATATCTGGTGTCCACTGTACTTGCTACTATTTCCATAATTACTGTCATATCTATTTAATTATTCCAGATATCAGGAAACTTTTACTATAAAGGGTTAGATAAGTATTTTAGGTTTTGCGGGCTGTACAGTACACATTGCAGCTACTCATCCGCTTCTGTAGAGTGAAAATTGTCATAGATAATACATAAATGAATGAGCATGGCTGCATTGCAATAGATCTCTGTTTACAAAAACAGGCAGCAGGGCAGATATGGTCTGCAGTTTCCGGACTCTGTATGTCACTTCTGCTATCACTTGGCTTTCTGTTATAGCTTCCTAAGTAGCATGTCCTAGATATGTGTGTATTTTGGTATGCTATTGCTGGAAGATATCACTGCTTAAAGATTTGTTTCTGCTCTTTCTATTCTGTCCCATTGGTCTTGTGTTTTTCTACGCCAATGCCTGAGATACTTAATGATTACAGATTTAGACTAAGTCCTGAAATTTTGTAGGGCAAGTCAACCCTTGTCATTTATAAGAATTTATTTATTTTTGGCCTTTGCACTTTCATATAAATTTTAGAGTTAACTTGTCAAATTCTACGATTGCACTGAATCTGTACATCAAGTTGGAGAGATTTACATCTAGGATATCAGATATATCTTTTTGTTTATAAACATTAAATGTCTCCATTTTTGAAATTTTTCTTTAATGTAACATTTCTTACAATAAATGTTTATGGTTTTCTTCATAAAGCTCTTATTCATTTTATTAATCTTAGGTGCTTTATATTTTTATGCTATTTTATTTGCTATATTTTAAAAGATATTTTTTAACTATTGCTAGAGAAGTGTAATAAATTTTTATCTATTGAATTATGCATCTGGAAACCTAGCTACACCGTATAATGATTAGATTTTTATTTCCTACTTGCATAATAGAAGTATCAATGAATAGTGATAGCCTAAGTTTTCTTGCTTTCCAATTTGTAATACTTTCTATTTCTTTTTCTGGCAAAGACTTTTAGGATAATATTGAATAGGCATGATGAGAGTGGACATTTTTCATTTATTCCTGATTTTAAAGGGAATGTTTTCTTGTTTCTTTGGGTCAGTCAGCCTGCCTCTCTCTCCCTCTCCCTGCTCCTCTCTTGATACCATTTATCAAGTTAAAGGGTTTTTCTTCTTTTCATAATTTGCTAACTATTTTTTTCATGCTTCATAAAATTCTTCCAGCCTCTGCCCACTGCCCAATTCAGAAGCCACTTGCACAGTTTTAGTTATATGTTACAACAGCACCCACTTCTAGGTATCAAAATCTGTATTACCTTTGTGTTTGCCGCTCAATTGGTTACTTTACAATAAAGGGTTTACATTCTTGTCTTTAACTTGTTACAGTCTATATTAAGTGATGTTAAATCACTTCACATCTAAGAACCTTAAAATAATATTCTTTCCTTTGCCCCTTTCCAGCTGTTGTTTTCAGATGTTTTATTATATCTGATATAAACTGCACAACATATTGTTATTAGTTTTCCCGTAAACTATTACCTTTTAAAGAGATTTAAATAACAAGACCAACAGTCTTTATATTTACACATGTAATTATCACTGCTGGCGCTCTTTTTTAATTTGTGTGTTTCCTTATTTCCATCTGGTATCAATTTTCTTCTGTTTGAAGGATTCTTTACCATTTTTGTTGTGCAGGTCTGCTGCTGATATATTCTTTTAACTCTTTGATTTCTGAAAAAAAATTTTTTTCCTTCAGTTTTGAAAAATATTTTTTTCTGGATAAAGAACTCTAGGTTGACTGGTTATTTTCCCTTCCAGTACTTTAAAGATATTGCTCCTTTGTCATCTGTCTTACATTGTTTCTGACAAGAAATCAGCTGTCCTTCTTATTCTTGTATGTAATCTTTTCTCTTTTGTCTGCTTTTAAGATTTTCATTTTATCACTGCTTTTAATAATTTGATTTTGATGTACCTTGGGGTAGTTTTCTTTATGTTGTTGTGGATTTGTGGGTATCTAGTTTTCATCAAATTTGAAAAAAAATTGGCCATTATTTCTTCAAATATTTATCCTTTTTCACCACCCCTTCTCTTCATGATGGACTCCAATTATAAGCATGAGTTGACTTGTAGTTGTCCCACAGCTCACTGATGATCTGTTCATTATTTTTTAGTCTTTTTTCCTCTTTCAATATTGTAGTATTTTTAATTTTTTTTCTGCTTTTTCTCCCCAAATCCCCCCAGTACATAGTTGTATATTTTAGTTGTGGGTCCTTCTAGTTGTGGCATGTGGGATGCCACCTCAGCACTGCCTGATGAGCGGTGCCATGTCCGTGACCAGGATCAGAACGGGTGAAATCCTGGGCTGCCGAAGTGGAGTGTGCGAACTTAACCACTCAGCCATGGGGCTGGCCCCATCATTATTTAGTATTTTTTGATTGCCAGTAGACATCTGATTTTTCTATATAGGAAATATATCCAAAAACTCACATTTAAACAAGAAAATTATTTGGGGACCATAACAATTCTCATAAAAAATCCATTATTGTACTTATTTTCCATATTTTGTGAGGAATTATCAACTTGTGAGATTTTGTCACTGCAGTGAATTTGGTATCTGTTGGAAGTTGTGGTCTGACACAGTAAATAACCATCTAATGCCTTAATAGGTCTCTATTATTAAGCTCGTTTTAAAATGGCAATAATCTATTTGTTAATTTTTTCTCTACTTTCTTGTATAAAATAATCTGGTATTACATAGTAGTTCAAGAATACCTTAAAACATGTGGTTAGTTCTGCTATAATATTTGTTTTTGTTTTTATTGAGTTAATGATAGGTTACAATCTTGTGAAATTTCAGTTGTACATTAATGTTTGTCAGTCATGTTGTAGGTGCACCACTTCACCCTTTGTGCCCACCCCCCACCCCACCTTTCCCCTGGTATCCACTAAACTGTTCTTGGTCCATAGTTTTAAATTCCTCATATGAGTGGAGTCATACACAGATTGTCCTTCTCTCTCTGGCTTATTTCACTTAACATAATTCCCTCAAGGTCCATCCATGTTATTGCAAATGGAATGATTTTGTTCTGTTTTGCAGCTGAGTAGTATTCCATTGTATATATGTACCACATCTTCTTTATCCATTCGTCTGTTGCTGGACGCTTAGGTTGCTTCCATGTCTTGGCTATTGTAAACAGTGCTGCAATAAACATTGTGGTGCATAGGACTTTTGGGATTGCTGACTTCAAGCTCTTTGGATAAATACCCAGTAGTGGGATGGCTGGATCGTATGGTAGTTCTATTTTTAATTTTTTGAGGAATCTCCATACCGTTTTCCATAGTGGCTGCACCAGTTTGCATTCCCACCAGCAGTGTATGAGGGTTCCTTTTTCTCCGCAACCTCTCCAACATTTGTTGCTGTTAGTTTTAGATATTTTTGTCATTCTAACGGGTGTAAGGTGATATCTTAGTGTAGTTTTGATTTGCATTTCCCTGATGATCAGCGATGATGAGCATCTTTTCGTGTGCGTATTGGCCATCAGTATATCTTCTCTGGAGAAATGTCTGTTCAT